AAAAAAACTGAATGAATGATTAATTGTTTTTATTAGTTGCTTAATTATAATGAAAACTTGCCGATTTTGAGTTTATAAAAAATTTCAATGAGACTGGCATTGTGTACCCTTTTTGAACTTATGATTTTAAGATAATGAATACTTTTTATCTGCACTAACAAGTCAGATGTTAAAATTTTAAAAAAGGTTTTTTTGTAAACTTTTCTGTAGAAAAAACAAGAAGAGGCAATAAAGCAACAGCAAATCCAATCGCTCAACTGGCACTAATCGATCAAGCGCGTGCTGATTTGTTAATTATTTAATTATCTGTTTTATTTTATTGTGCAATACATTTCTAAACAAATTCATTAGTAAATTTTCATTTTATTTGTTTTATTTTAGCCTAGTAGATGGGGTGCCGATTCCGCCGGTCGTTGAATAAAAAAATGAGTTTGGCAATTTTGTACAGTAATCAATCTTTTTAACAAAACAACATTTTCCAGCGTGTGTGAGATTTTTAATTTTAAAATTTAATTTAAATTGTAATTTTAAACCAACTGTAATTTTTATTTGTTTAGTTATAAAATTTTTATCAATTTAGCATTCTAGCGAGTTAATTGAATTTCCAATAAAATGTTAATATTTTTTGTGTTTGGTAGAAGATAGTTTCAGCAAACAAATGTTTGTTTTACAAGCATTGTCTGTTTCACCGCCTGCCTGCCTTCTGGTGATTTATTTCTCGTTCTTTGTATAAGTGATTTTTGCCATCAGGCTTCACTTGAGGACGATTAATTTTGCCCGATTTTTTGGGCACAATCACCGAGTGTACAGCAGCAGTTCTCTTGCATGTCTCCGTAGTGTTGGCAATGGCACTAATTACGGAAATTACTTGCCAGCTGGGATTTATCATGAGCCTCATGCCAGGCCAGAATGAATGCATGTCAAGCAGCCTCTCTTTCCTTTCCCTTTCACTTTCAGTCTTTGCAAGCCATTTGCATTTTTAGTAGCAGTCATTTGTATTCGTTGCTTATTCACACAATTTACCGGTTGTTGTCACACAGACAGCACACAGGCGACATTTTCACTTTTTGTCCGCATTTTCCTTACACTTATCAGCGCGAGCGAGATTCAGAGTGCAATTTTTTCTCATTTGCAAAGTCGCTAATTATGTTTGTAGTCCAATATGCTTTTGAGACTACTTTTATGTTTTGCTGTACAAAACGGTACTATTTTTGCATGGCAAAGTTGGGTAGAAACACACAACGAGCTTGAACAGTGTTAGCTTGCACATACATTGCAAATGGTATTGCATTGTTTTAGAAGCACAGAACAAGCACAGAAACACGCGTTTCTCTCAATCAGTGGCCATTTAGCCGACGATTTCTGTCATATGATAACAGGCGAGCATGCTTGTCAATTGCTGGGAATGTACAGTGATCGCATCGGGTGATGCTCGATAGCCTGTACAATACAATTACTTTCAAAAAGGAGGCTCTTCCCTGCCTTCGCTGCCTCCTCGTTGCCTCAAAGATGGCCTCGATCGCTTATTACGATCATCACCAGCAGTGGCGTCATGCTGCTGGCGCTGCTGCCACTGCTGGTCAATGGCGGCAACAGTTTGCCAGTGACTGGTAGGCACAGACAGAGCAAGCGGCAGACAGCGGCACAGCGGCTCACTATCAGACGTGCACAGCGAGTCATTTCACTGGCGAAGCATCTCCCACTCTCTCTCACTCACTCTCATTGGGCAAACGGCAACTCTCTGGCCGAAAACACGTTTTATCCTCTCATGTGCTTCGTGGTATCGCCGAGTTGCTGTCGATCTGTCCACATGTGCTCAGCACAACACACCAAGGCACTCACCACATTGTGCTCTCCACTTTCTTCACACTGACACAGTGAAAGTGATCGCTTTGTGCCCCTCTTTCCACCCTATCCATCTACCCATCCGTCTGGTGGCCTGTCTACTCCCTTATCACTGACGTCTATCTACGGTATCAGCAAAATACAAAGAAAGAGGGGAAGATTGAAAAGTTGCATTACATACTTGTCGTTTCCACTTCCATCCACCCGAAACCTGAACCAGTGACTGCTCAGCAGCAATCCACTCCATCAGTCGATCGTGTCAGCTCTCTTTCTCTGCTTTCAACTCTGTACAAGACTGTTCAGTTGTGTATAAAACTGCCGTCACACAAGGAAACAGAGACTTGTTACTCTTTCTCTCTTTTCGGTGTCTTCACCAACATTAACTACCATTACCAGCATCACCAAAGAGCAGCTCTCTAAGAACATGTCAAACACGCCGTACACGTACAACTTCAATCCTGGCCCAGCGAAGGTGCCCAAGGAGGTGCTGCAGAAGGCTCAGGATGAGCTGATCTACTATCGAGAGTCGGGCATCAGTGTCTTCGGTAAGCACCCGACTAGTAATTGCCTGTGTGTATGTGTGCACCAGAACTTTCCAAAACACACAGTGCTGTTATTCTCCATTCTCACTCTTAATGTCCATTGTAATCGCAACTGTGTTCTTTTTATTGCCACTTTCTCTCTCTCCCTTCCTTGCACAGAAATGAGCCATCGATCGCCTGAATTTGAGGGCATCATCAACAACGCCGAGAATTTACTGCGCGAAGTACTGTAAGTGACTGTTTATTTAACCCTCTTCCCATCCTCCTTCCCATCCTCTTCTTTAGCCAAACAGTTTGCTGTGGTACGGCAATTGCTATCGTCGTGCTAACGGCCGCTGAATGTCAGGCGAAAGTCATTTTCAGGCTTAACCGCAACTGTTGTTGACTGTTGCTGAAGCTGTTAATTTCATTATCACTATGCAGTCAGTGCAGAGTGAGAAAGAGAGTGAGAAAGAGAAACTGAAGGCTGGTGACAGTGCCAGCTAATTGCGATTAGCCTAGTTGATATGGACAGAGGNCTGTTGACTGTTGCTGAAGCTGTTAATTTCATTATCACCATGCAGTCAGTGCAGAGTAAGAAAGAGAGTGAGAAAGAGAAACTGAAGGTTGGTGACAGTGCCAGCTAATTGCGATTAGCCTAGTTGATATGGACAGAGGCACTTTCAGTGTTCCCCAGCAGCAGCAGCAGTTTCTACGAAAAGAGTGCTTGCCCAAGCAAAGCTTCTCTCTTTCGATTTCGCTTTCTCCGACTATCTTTCTGGCAATTTCACCCACTACTACTACTACTACTACTACTACTACTACTACTACTACTACTACTACTACTACTACTACTACTACTACTACTACTACTACTACTACTACTACTACTACTACTACTACTACTACTACTACTACTACTAGGATCACCCAGGGTAATCGGCAATTGACTGTCGATTGTTGTGTGTCTTGTGCACAGTCTTCAAAATAATAATGAGGAAGTTTCGATGGAAAATGCTCGGTCCGTCTGCAGACGGCAGCCGTAGCAGTACACTCACGTCATCGTAATATGTTTTCATTATACGGTGCGCGATCAGCAAAACAATTTGCTCCTACTGCTCCTACTACTAAAACTGCCGTAGTGAACAGTTAGCACAAATTCGTTCCTTTTCCTCGTTTGCTGTTTGTTTCATTCATCTCATATTTTTTCTCTTCTCTTTTGACCCGCAGAAACATTCCCAGCAACTACCGAGTATTATTTCTGCACGGCGGCGGCACTGGCCAATTTGCCTCCATTCCGCTGAACCTCACTGCCCCGGGCGAGAAGGCTAATTACGTGATCACTGGCGCCTGGTCGGAGAAGGCGGCCAAGGAGGCGGAGAAGTACATCAAGGTGAACCGAGTTAATCCTAAGCCCGCCAAGTTTGTCTCCATTCCCGATCGAGCTACCTGGAATGTGAGTGTTGCCATTGCTTTTTCTTTTACTTGCTTTCCTCAACTTTTTGCACACTGGCTGCTGTCCAAAGAAAGCTGCTGATGCTGTGGCAATATGATTAATGAACAACTTTCATGCTTGATTATTTGCCTTCTCTTTTATGGCTCCCATTCTTTCTTTTCTCCCATTTCTCTCTTTAGGTCGATCCAGAGGGCAAATATTTGTTCTACACCGACAATGAAACCATTCACGGCGTGGAGTACCCCGCTCCGGTGGCGCCCTTCAGCGAGAACATGCCCGTTGTCTTCGACATGACCTCCAACTTCCTCACCCGCCCGGTGGATGTGACCAACTACGGCGCCATCATCGCCGGCACGCAGAAGAACGCCGGCGTCGCCGGGCTGGCCATTGTCATCGTCCGCGATGATCTCATCGGTCGACCGCAGACCATCTGCCCCTCCATCCTCGACTACAAGGTGCTGCTGGCCAATCAATCGCTCTACAACACACCGCCCACTTACTCGTAAGTAGGGAACAAAAAAGCAACAAGAGCAGCAGCTCATGCAACTCACTTGATCACTGGGCTCATCCGGGTGCAGCAGTCTCTCTTTTCAGCGATTCAGCGCAATTTCCTCTGAAATGCGTGCTGAGCCCGGCTATATCGACTGATTAGCTAATCAATTCTCCTCTTTTCTTCTTTTCTTTCATTTCTTTCTTCTCTTTCACCCCTTTTCTTGCAAAATACTTTCATTCTCTTTTCTTTTTTCCTTCTCCCCCCTCTAGCATCTACATGACCGGCCTTTTCCTGCAGTGGATCAAGGATCAAGGCGGCCTGGAGGAGATGTCTCGGCGGGCTGATGCTCGCGCCAAGCTAGTCTACGACGTGATCGATCAGTCGAATGGCTTCTATTCGTGCGCCGTGGAGCCCACTGCTCGCAGCCGCGTCAATGCCTGCTTCCGTGTCGGCGGCCCGTCCGGCGACGAGGCGCTGGAGAAGAAGTTCTTTGAGCAGGCAAAGGAGCGCCGTTTTGTCGGCGTCAAGGGCCACCGCTCGGTGGGCGGCGTCCGCATTTCCATGTTCAACGCCTGTCCGCTGTCTGACGCGCAAACCATTGCCGACATGATGGTGCAGTTTCAGAAGGAAAATCAGAAGAAGTAGCTGATTTTACTCCTCAAAAGCACTCGATTTGCCCTTTTCAGCTGTTGTTTTTACTGATAAATTGCTAGGACAGCACTATTGCAGCAACCAAGTTCATTGTCCCATCCGTTTGCCATGTGTAAATGTGTTAGTGTGCTTTGCTTGAGCAACATCCACAGCACACACACAAGTAAATAAATCGAAAGCAAATTATTAATAATGTAATCGATGATTAATCTCGTCATTGGAAATGACAGAAACTGACGGTGATGGCCTCCTTCTTTCCTTCTTCTCTAACAGGCCAGCACTTAATTAATGGCCATTTGTCTGGCATCAGAGTACAATAGACTGACACAGAGAGTGCAAGAAGGTACAGCAAGATAGCGGGAAAGACCACAAGTCCAGTGTCGATTGCCGATTTGCCCAACAGCAGCAGCAGCAGCTGGTCTGTTTGCTCACAGAACTGCCCAACAACAAGTAGGGCACATCACTGCTTGATCAACACACACACTCACACTTTCAGCAACGGGCAAATCACCAGCTTAGAGAATGAGTGTGAATAGAGAGCTTGTTGGCAGACGGGTAAGTCCGCTAAGTTCCCTTCTATTTCTCTGTGCTATTTCACTCATCCCACTCAGCCACTGAGCTTCTGTCAGCTGTTTTCAGCAAAAGCTTCCCTTCTCTGCAGTAGAGCTGCCCTTGAGTTCTTTGGGTGCAGTAGTTGTCATCATCAGTAAGCAACGGTTCTCCTTGCAATTGTACCCGAATGTCGCATTTGGACAGTCGCAAGTGTCAATTGTGAGAGAGCGTCGATTGAGTTATAAATCAAAATTTTCCCAGAGGAGCCTAGTGTTCAGGGTGCCACTGCCATCAGCACACTACCATTACCACTGCTACAATGCTCACCACTGCGACCACTGCTCAGCGTGATGTCCCTTAATGGACAGTTCCTATCTCCCAGTCTCTTTTCTGGTGTTGACCTTTTGTGCAAGTCCATTTTAATTGCTCTCTCTCTCTCTTTCTCTTTCTCTTTTCTACAACTTTGGAAGCTTCAACAACAACGGCAGTTTCTGCTTCTATACCACTACTACTAAAATATCCTCTTCTTCCTATTTCCCTTCTCATTCACTGTCTCTAAACCATGTGTCCCACTCGCTGTGTGTGGTGTGCCCCATAAATATTCGTTAGTGTCTTAACAGCCCCTAACTGCCCACTCCGTACTCCAGTGCATTATCACTTCAGTCAGCTCACTAAAGTGTACTGCAGGCATACTGCTGGCTACTCTGTTGACCTTTTGACATTTTTTGCCAGTTGCAGTACAGGACGGCTTCAGTCTTCTCTAAAGTGTCATATTCTCTGTTCTCGTACGCCTTGATAAATACCGTGTCTAGGGCAGTGTGTTGAGCATTTTAATTACACAACGACAAACACACTCATAGTTACAGTCACACTCGACACGGGTATTTATCAGCAGAGTTTGTACGGTTGAGTAAACAGGCAGAATGTGTGTGCGGTGTCGAGCTGTTGTGTCCGAGATGCTTGAATCCGTCCGTCCGTCTGTTTGTTAGCTCTGCTTGTTAGCTTCTCCTGGGAAGTGAATCACCAGCATCAGCAGCATCAGCAGCATCACGAGGAACCAGAGCAGCAGTGGCTGTGCAATGTGGGGCAGAGGGAAAGCGCGCCTGTAAGTGAATAGTGGACAACTGTAGACGCTGCTCATCGAGACTTGTGAGTATGTGAGTTTTGACGATACAGCTCAACGCTGAATTATGAGATCGATTTTTTCCAGTCCTAGGAGGAGCGGGAAGGAAAAGTGTGCCAAAAGTGGCAAGAATCATGCGACCCACTGATTGGCAATGCCATCCGCACACATACCACACTTTTGTTGTACGGTTTGTACTTTACAAGAGGACAAGTTGGTGTGCATGTCTAGTGCTTGTCTGCATTTTTTTCTTTTTTTTCTTTTTTCTGTTTTGACTTTACACTTCCACTCACTGCTGGTACTTGATGCCATTTGGTAGTGTAAAACACTCGAGAAAAGTGTTTATTTGATGTAATGTCTACCTATTTGTTTGTGTTGTGCTACTTGTGCTGACAGCAACATTGACGGCCTGTGTAATACATGCTTTGAATTGTTTCACATTAATCATCCACGCTTGTAAAATGATAACAAAGCTAATAGAGTTGGAGTGAGAACCAGAGAGGGAAACGCTTAAGAAAAGAGGGTGTTGTTCATCACTTGAAAACTCTAAATGACACTTGCGGGAAAAAAAGAAGAAAAAAAACATAAAATTGTCCTAGATAAAAACTCCAGAAAAAGCGACAAAAACTGCAGGATGAGAAAAAAACTATTGCTCGTTGCGCCGGGCGCCATGAATTTTGGTTCTGGAGAAATGGCCCTTAACACGCAATCATTTGCCTGCAACAAACTGAATGACTGGCTGGTTGTATGTGTCACCATTTGGTGATGTTGTTAATGAAAATTAATAGAGAGCCGACCGCAATGTGCAAGGCCACTGGCGTTTCTTTTTTCCCCTTTGCCTTTTACATTCCTTTGCTGTTGCTTGTGTCCTCCTGCAGCATTACCACTTCTTGCACGTCCTTCATCTGCTTTATGTTGTGTACCCTCTCTTTTTCTTTTTTTCTGATGGTGTGTTTCTGTTCTGTTACTGACAAATTTTCTCTGTTTGTCTAGTGCAGTGCAAACAAAAAATCGACACAAAAAAACGACAGCAACAGCAACAACAGCCGAAGCAGAAGCCAGACACTCGCCAAAATGCACTGCGGCAAAGACGCCTTTGATGGAGGCAGCGCCGATGATGAACATTGAGTTTGCGGCTGTTGATGAAACAGACAAAAAGAAAAAACTAAATTAGTGAGTGAAAGGAGTGAGAAGAAATGATGCTGCACGAGTGCTGTTGCTGCTGTTGCTGCTTTTTCGACCACCACGACCAGTGAATGACTGTTGATGAAGTTGCCGGGGACATTGTGCGGTTCTTTCAAGTTTTTCCTTCTTCTAGTGCACTATGTTTCTTGCTTCTATGCCGACAAATTAATTCATTTAGGAAAAAGCAAATGATGATGTTGAGTGCTGAGTGTGTGTCTGTGTCTGTGTGGGTTTGAGTGTTTTTCTCTCGGTATGTGTGTGGCGCAATTTGAAAATGCAAACAAGCAGCAGCAGCAACCTCTCAATGAATGCCTGCAACCAGTGATGGCTGTATGGTTCTTTGAAGATGCTATTTCTCTTCAACACCAGTGTTTTTTCTAGTTTTTGGCATTCAAATAAAATAAGAATGCGACAGAGAGTGCTTGCAGAGTGCCGATTGTACGAAAAGTGCACTGTCGCCCTAATGTGCTAATAAAGCAATTGAAATTAATTAATGAAAAGCCTCTTTGTCGTCGTCGTCAAGAAATTGGTAAATGGTAGTACTTTCTTCTTTTTTCTTTTAACACAACAGCAGTCAAACAACTGTCACTCAGTCAGTTGGTCAGTTGGCAATCAGTCTAATGTCCTTAGCACCCGCCTACTCACTACGGTATTCGGTCGGCCATTACTCCATTAGGCTGGTGGTAATGCCAGTGATGCCACTCGAGAGTCATCATTAGCGACTGTCTCTTTTTCCTCTTTTTTCTCCTTTCCCTCTCCTCCCTCCACCCTATGTCCAGCTGGCAGACGCTGAGTGAACCTTCTTCAATCACGACCTCTTTTTCCGTCCTTGTACGTGCGTCTTTTTGTGTGCCGAACATAGAACATTGTCTCTTTTAGTCTCTTTTCTCTTTGCTACTTCAAGAGACAATTGGACACGAAAGCCAATTAGGCTCATAAACCGGAACACTGCTAATTCGTCACTCTACCACACACACACACTGCCTTCCCTCACTTGCACCGGACTGTTTTGTCGACTGATAAACAGTCAATTTGGCATCTTTTTGCGTGTTTGTCGGCGTGCGTTTGCCTGGTAAATGGCAACCAGTCCACATGCACACACACATACTGAAACATTCATTGCTCACGCACAACATAACAGCAACGTCTAGAACTGCTGCGCCATACAATAAATTAGCCGTCTCACTTGCAACATTCAGTTAGAGTGCGTGTTTGAAAAGGAAAAATGCAATTTGTTTGTAGTGCACTGTTGACGAACAAAAGTGTACTGTCCAAGTGTGCTTTTTCTAGAAACAAAGTTGTGATCTGTAAGTTCAAGAGTAAGAAGAATGAAAAAAAAGAAAAGTAGAAGGCAGTTCAAGTTGAATAGCAAATTCTCTTGACCATTGAGAAGTGGCAGTGAAGCAAGCAAACAGGCGGAAATCAGTTGCGCACTGTTGCCAAACAAATTGTCACTGTTTTTCTGTTCTGTGCACTGTCATTTATCATCAGCAACACCAGCCTGGTGCACTTGAAGTGATAATAAGCTGCTTAGGCGAGTTGCCTTTCAATGAGGTGCAAGCTGGGGACTGTGAAAAAGACTGCATTAATGTTTAAACACACACTATTTACTGCAATAAATATTGATTCTAATTGGCGCTTTGGAATTATCATTCACCATTCTCAAGTGCACGCCTAAGTCTTAGAAAGAAAAAGATTTCTTTTTTGAAAAGCAATCTTTGTTTCTGTTTTATGATTTCTTCGTACAAGTTAAGTTGCACTGACAAAGTTTTAATGCAAAAAACTTGAGTGCAACAGAATGGCGGCGACTTGATTGGCCTAAGCCACACTTGGCCACTCTGCACTTTCACTTTCAATAAGACACTGTCGTGCTCTTATCGTGCGACTGTTGTTGTCGCTAGCTTGGCCGTTCCTATCTCCTCTTGGCCAAATGGTAATGAACGGCGGTAGTGCTGCAGCGTCAATTACAAGAGAAACAATTATAGAGGAAAAAGAAAAAAAAGAAGAGAGCCTCTACGGTAATGCCACTGTTGCTGATAAATTAGATGTCCTTCTTCTGCACTACAGTGCACGGAAGATACCTGCTGTTACTGCTGCTGTCAGACTGTGATCCTACAGGGGGTTGCCATTGCCT